CAGAGACACACACAGAACCGACAGTATTGTCTTCCCAGAGGCCTCCTGATCAGAACTGGTACAGGACCCGGTGGGTGCTGATGCTGTTCAATACCTTTCGCCTTCCTGGCAGGGCTCCTCCTCTTTAAGCGAACTTAATCTGCCTAGAGGAAAATGAAGATCAAAGCTGACAAAACAGGTATACAGAAGGAATGCTCCTTTGAAGCCAATGCGAATGCAGTCGTGATGGATACAGTATGATACCCAGATACAGTAGAACTATCAGTTTTCTCGCTAGATGAGAATTGAGTGAAAAATATCAATGAACTAAGATCTCCCTACTTACTCAAGAAGGGAACGAGTGAGCAGTTCTGGTCCTGAGAAAAGGAAAGTAGAAGTGGCCCCTAGGAAACCTTTCAGAGTCTCAGGGGACTAAACCACAGTAATGCCGGTTTCAATGAATTTACGGAAGAATTCTGACGGTGCCTACAGTTCAGTCTTCCACAGGTCTAATGACATAGAGTACCAGAAAACCAGGAAAGAGAATTATTTAAAAAGAATAAAGGAGTAAAACACCATAAATGAGGAGGAAGAAACCATCTAGGGTACCTCAAGAAGCCTTGCCACACTCGGGAAGGGGTCAAGTGAAGAACTTCCATGGGGCCAACAACGGCTTCTTGATTCTTCAACATAACTGGAACATGAACGGAAGATGTCTGGCATTAAGATCGGCAAAGCTTCACTTTCCTTAGTAAAGTACAGGGGTGACCAGGCTAATAACAATCTGTTACCAGTGCTCTTTGCTGAGAAGCTGGGTGGAAAAGGAGGCATGCAGAGATACTCTGGGAAGGAGAAACCCTCTCCCTGACTTTTCCCCACACAACAGCGACCTTGGGCGCAAGCCCCGGTTCACCAGGCAATCCCGAGACTGTATGCAGAATCTCTGAGCCCAAATTCCATACACAAATGCCCCGCACACGACTTGCATTTGAGTGCTTTATTATATTGGAATTGCGGTGATATTAACATTTGTACAAATGCACAAAATCTTGTCTCTTCTTGCTAGAAAGAGAAGTAAAAATCTGACCTAGTCGAACAGTCTCAATGAACTCAGTGTCCACTGGTAACAATAAATGCGTTCACAATGCAACAAAAAGCGAAACAGAGAATTAAACACAATAAACTGCTGCAGCAAATATTTACACATATGCACCCCCCAGGGTTTTTTTTTTCTCCCTCCAATTGGAAGGTGGTTGCTTTACAGACAGACACACAAACACAAAGGTTTTGCTGTTTACAATGACAAACAACCCCAAGTCCAGAACTTAAAGTGACGGCACCTTTTTTTGGGGGGTGGGGGGCTTTTTCGGCCAACATGTACTTTACACAGTGCTAAACTTCTTTTTTTTTCTATTATATTTTTGGACAATGTTTCTATTCCAATTGTCCTAGAACATTATGCTTGAATGGAGCCATTACTTGTGGGTCTTTTCGGAGAACATTTCAAGCATTTTTTTTTTCCCTCAGAGACAATTTTCAAAAGGCAGCATTCCTCTCTGCGAGGCAGATGAGACTGGCAGAGGTCTTAGAAAGGAAGGGGTGGGAAGGTCTTCCTGCCCACAGCTGCTTGGGAGGAGTCCCTTCCCTTAACTCCCTCCATGCGGCCCCGCTACTTCCTCTTGCAATTTCAGCGGTGTGGGACATTATAAAGGAACAAATGAGAATCTAATGCATTGATTGTGTGGAAGATTTTAATGATGTAGTTAAAGCTAATTTATTCAGGTCCCACATTCTCCAATGTGAGGTGAAGTGATTTTATGTTTAAAAAAAAATCCCTATAAAGTTCTACAATATAAACCCCAATGTAGGGAAACCTTAAATGGCTTAGGAAGGAATTCCTAAGTCTTGACTTCTAATGAGCTAGATGCTTTAACTTGGTTTAAATATAGCAGTTGATTATTGATTCCTTCCTGATGATAAGCTTGGAAAGGCATCAGAGGCCCACTTACTGGTATTAATGTTTGAACAAATGCTGGCAATTTGGCTTTATTCTATCTTTAGTTTGCAGTTAAATAGGTTTTTCTTTTTCAAAAAATAGATGATTTATAAGGAAAAAAATATATAAACACTCTTTAAGTAATTTGGCTACAAGCATTACATCACTGAAAAGTTCCACAAGGAATAATAATAGCAAGAGACTTTGAACATGGGGACATATTTCTATGATCACAACACGATGAGCTAGGCTGATTTGAGAAGTTCTCTGTGTGTGTTTTGGTATGGGATTTTTTTTTTACTCATAAGTTCATTGCTCCTTTGTCTTCCTCGTAGGCTGGGATTCTAAAACAGAGGTGCTGTCCTTGATCACGCTACAAGGCAACATTGTATTTTTGAGACGGAGGAATGAGAGGACAGGGCCTCTGTTGCTTCCACAGCCTGACAAGGACTCTGGCTAGTGACAGAGGCTATGGGCAAGAGTGGTGTGTGCGCGCCGCGGCACACCAGTGGAGAAGTCTCCCAGCTTTTTCAGGACACTTTGGTTCGGAGGATGAGATAGAAAATCGTAAGCTTAGCGAGTTGCTGCCCACATCTGTTGCATCATATAGCAATTTTCAAAACCATGCAAGGAAGAAAGAGATCAAGGGGATAAATCATACTGTGTACTGGCTCTTCTTGACATTCTCGGAGCAGGCTTCAGGAGGCTGCGAGAAACGCCCCTCAGCCGTGCTAAGAATGAGTGCGCACCCGTGTTCCAGGTCTAAATGTTCTATAAAATACTTGAAATGGTGCAGCATGGAACCTTCACAGAACACTTGTACAGGGTGGAGCCAAGGCAAGTCGAAGGTCAAAAAAGGTTAGGGGGAGAAGCAGAGGAAGGGGAAGGGATCAAAGATCTAAAGTGCAACTTTAAGATAGAAATTAGTTTGGAAGCAGAAGAGAGGTTCTGAACCGCTGCTGCGGCATAGGCATGGCTTCACCCAGGGCACGTGACCTCCCTCCCCTTCAGATATGGCGATGGGATGGAGTTAGACAGACTTGAAGCCACTGCACACTGTTCATGAGGACCCAGGCCACTCCAGGGGGCCGAGTAGTGCAAGGTGTTCTTGGAGATGGTTGTGCAGTGAAGAGAAGTAGGAGGAAGGCATTTTATACAAAAAATAAAAAAAATAGATATTCTGGTTTTCGTCACCGATGCCCTTCAGTTGAATTTGCTTCCTTTAAACATGAAAAGAAATCCTTAAAAAAAAAAGCCAACCTTGTTCAGGATGTAGATTAACCAATAACTCACAGAGCAGCAACAAGCCTCCAAAGGTTTAAGCACAGAGATCTAAGCACGGGCTTCCAGTGGTGGAAACAGCCATCCACGGCCCTGAAAAAAACAGCACCCTCACTGGGCTAGTTTATTATGGACTAACGCTTTCCAGACACGTAGACCCTACAGAAAAATACTGTTGAAATGGAATGTTTAAAATAACACTTATTAATAAATATCTTATAATTCTAAATTAATAGATTCCTGTTCAAATTTTGCTTTGGTCCTTGAATCCCACTGTATAGACATACATACATACTTTCTCAGATGGCTTCATCACTCAAAGAGAAGGACATTCTACCCTAACTGGAACCCTAGCTTTAGAGCAGTTACTGGTGCTTCAAAATAATTCCAACTAAGGGCTGTTTTTGTTTATTTGTTTGTTGTTGTTATTTTTCTGAAGCTGGTTTATGGTTTTAACGGCAACCTCTAAGCTACTACAATTTGCTTTACTAGCAGACACCTGAACACTCCCTACCGACAGCTCTCTCGGAACGTGCACTGTGTTTTATTTCTTGACCAGATAAACTCCAAGGAGCACAGGCTGAGTCAGTCACCCAAATTCTCAAGATACACACCGTGATGGCACACATACTACTCCAACAGGTTGGGTTACTATGGCGACCTGCACTTGTTGACAGAAGGGTAGGAAAGGGTCACCTGGGACCACACGTAACTCCATTATCTAGCTTTGAGATTAGTACCTTCACCCGGGGCTGGGCTTTCAATCTACCTCCCCCCAAATCATAGATCAAGGAAGAGGTCAAAGAGAAACAAAGCCTTTATCTGGGTGAGAAGCCACCTGGCAGAAGTGCTCTGGGGTGAACTAAGTTACCAGCTCTCGGTACATTAGCAAGCAGGGAGGGACTGGAGAAGCGCCCAGGAGGCTGGCAAGGACTTTAGAAGCAGATCCTGTGATGATGCAGCCACACAGGAGTCAGAAGAGGCAGTGTTGCTGGGGCTTCCATCCTTTGGATGGAGGACTCCAAAGACCATTATCTCCGATTCACCAAGAGTCTGCACGGCTGACATTGTAACTGGCTGGGAGATTATGGCATTAAAGGATGCTCTCCTGGAGTGGCCAGTGTGTGGCAGGCACTGCCAGGGTCGTTTCAGGAAGGCTCTGCCATCCAATGAAGTCTGGACCTTTATGTGGAATCTTTACTAGGGATGGACCAGAAATTAGATTTCACCAAAAGAAGTTTTTCTCTTCGGGACTGTAGGGAGTACTGACTAGCTGGAGCCCTCTCTGCAGGATCCCCCTGCTGCAAACAAACACACCTCCAGGCCCTGCACGTAGCAAGAAGGCAGTTTATTCTAATTATATGTTGAGAAAGGTTTGCTGTGTGTGGTGGCTTGCCTACTTAGCATAAAAAACAGACATAATTGGGCTATAAATAATGCATATCAGTCAAGCTGTCGAGCCGCTGAATTAAGAAAACGCAGGCAAGTTCTTAGCTGCAAAGCCTGCCTGTTTAACAGCTAAGGATTTCAGCCTAGAGGTGGGAGAGAAGTAAACTAAAAATCGTCATTTCAGAGGCAGGCCACTCCCTGGACATTGTGGTGTTACCAGTGGTTTAAAAAAAAAAAAAAATCCCTTCCTTCGAGTGCTATGCATGCAGGCAGGAAAGGGTCTTGCTTACTCAAAGCAAATGGAAGATACTAGCTACTAGCTCTGCCACCCTGACTTGCCCCCTTGTCTTTTGAGGGGAGCAGAATGTCTACATGGTCTAAGGATGGAATTTTGCAGAAAATTCCTTTTGATTTCAAACCAGAGCGATGAATATTAACTTCTTTCAAATGTAAGTCTTAAACATTTCTAGGAAGCCAGTTAGGTTAAACCATTCTGTTACTGCTGGAATTCAGAAAAAAGTAATAACAATATGAATTCAGTATTTAAAGTATTTGAAAATGATATACTTTACATCCCCTAAAATACAACAGAAAATCCTGCTCACCCCATCCTCTCCTCCCTTTTCATTCTTCCTTTTCTTTCTTTTTTTTTACTTTTTTTTTGCATTTGTTTTCTTATTCTTAGGTCATATATCCAAGTCTTAAGCTTTACTGAACAGTCAAACTTGTCTCTCAAAAGCACAGCATACATGGAAAAAAAAAAAACCTGTTGATAAATATTGATTTTAAAAGTAAGTTATTAGATAAAACTGAACCTAGTTATAAAAGTCATGCTTCAGAGTCCTCATATTTTCTTTTTTTTCCTCTAAAATAGATTTTTTTAAACTATAGTGAGCGAAAAAGTACATCCTTCCTTTACTGAACTCTTATAAAAGTGACAGCTTCTGTAAAATACTGTTCTTTTAAAACCTATACTGTTCATAAACACACACGTCCCCGCACACACACACTCAGGCACACACACCCACACCCACACACAGGTTAGAGGTGAAGTAGTATTTGGGCGGAGATGAGACACCAGCATACGCCTAGACTGCTAGTGAGAAAACACATGATACCAAAACACCAGCAGAACAGTCGGATGGCTTGTTTCAAGGAGGCACAACTGTGGTGTGGGTTTGATCTGCTTTTCATCATGGGCAGGTCCATGGAAGTTGCTGAAAATATGAATCAGAACCGTCCATAAGAGCGCATCAGCCTGGCCACCTCCACGGAACTTGTTTGGCAGCCGGAGAGTCCGTCTGTCTGACAGACTACAAGCACCCTGCAGAAGCACTGGCCTTGCTTTCTCTCTCTCCGTCTCCAGGAGTGAGCCTGCTTTTGCCCACCAGAATAGCAGAGCTGGTTCCATAGGCTTAGGAAAAAAAATAATAATAAATCTTAGGCTATTAGCAGCTGATGATTGAACAATGTAATCTGTGTAGTGAACAGAGCCCTTCTGAACTATTATATAGTGCATGGGTTTCAACATTATAGACAGGCCATAGAAATGAGTTGTAATTCGGGGGTGTGATGTCAGAGCCCACGTCCTAATTTGAACTTTCACAGTTGAGGCTAACAAAGGTCCTTTCCCTAGTGTCTCCACAGCTGGCATTCAATAGGGCTTCACCTAGAACCGAATCGCTTTTTATTTGCTCTGGTTATTAAAAACATTAAATCAGGCACATTAAACATCTCCCGGCTGCTATTTTGTGAAAGGCAAGAGTGGAATGAAGTCCAGCTGTGTGTTAAAGTCGAGCGAAACAATGGCTAGGTCCACACTTTCAAGATTTGCTCTTTTCCCTCTTTAGACATTATTTTCTTCTTCACATGCAAAGTTAAAGGGGGAAAGGTAAAGCCAAGAGTGAATAAGGAACCCAGGGAAGTGGCAGTGGAGATGAATATTGGACAATCTGAGCAAGTGAGCAAGAGCAGGAGAGGGCCTGAGATGCTTGGTGGCTCTCTTGGGACAATGATGGACCATACTTTTTTTTTTTTTTCTAGCATGAAAAACGAACTCAGGAAAGCCCATGCGTGTATCTGAGGTTCTGGTGACACCACAGCACAAACTCAACATGAGTTATGACATCACCGGATTTCCCACCCAGTTCCTGTGGATCCATCTCACTTGACATCGAAGTATACCTCATTTTGGCTAAAAGCTGTAGTTTTAACAAGATTCATTGTTTCAGGCAAAGGGTTGGACTGGTAAGATTGAAACTATGGCTATATACAGGAAAGATTCTGTTTATAAACAAGAAACTGGTACCAGAAAATCAGAGAAAAGCACCAGCGCGCTTCCCAAGCTGATAGATATTCATTGCATAACTCCCTTTTTCTTATATAACTAAGTATAAAAGACAACATTTCCATAATAACTATAAAAAAGGTAAGCCAGTCTTTGAAGGGCTGAGGCGTCTTCCTGGTCTGAGTGAATTCTAAAAATGCCCTTTGGAGAAAGGATGTATGGCATGGTCCAGCTCTTCTCGGGGTGGGCCAGGTCTGACCACTGCCTTTTAAAGAATAGGATTGAGGTCTGTTCTGTGAGTCGTGAGCTGACTGAGGGTGGAGCTCCCCACGACCTCGCTGACCGAGGAGGACGTAGTGATGGTGTTATGCTGGATGACGGGCTGCTGCGAACATGCTGGGACAGGGCTCGCGGGAGGGCTGCTCTCCGGACCTAGAAGAGAACACAGACACACACACAAATATAGCTCTTTCTTGTGGGAACTCCTTGGGAACAAATAAAAACGTTATTAGACATTTACTTCGTGTAGAAGAGTTTCACACATTTTCTTCTGGAAGGTACAGCCAAAACTTCATTTTAAACCGAAACCACAAAGCTAATCCTTCCAGGGTTTATAGCTACGTGTAAAACCATACTTTCTCCATCAGTAAAAAATGACTCCTTGTGTTTGAGTCTTTGCGTGTGAACTTCCCCGTCTTGTATTTTCAGATAGCCATTCATATATTAAATGTGGAAAAATACTCACATGTGGTGGGAGAATCTGTGTTGCTCAATCTAAAAAATTATTTGAAAACAAATTGACCTTCAGCCATGAATCATTCTTCCTCCCACCATCCCTTATACAACCAGCCTTTAGTATACTGCAGAAAGTGGAGACAGGGGAAAAGGGGCCCCACTTTGCCTGTTGGTAAACTCGAACAGCCCAGGAACTTGCCAGACTGGTGGGCAACAGGAGGTATCTCTTGAGACACTAAAAGTGATTCACCCAGTGCTGCCTCCCAGCCCGCAGAATTCTCAGCCCTGGATCAACAGGCGGCTGGTAATTGGACCCCCACAGACTAGTTTCTTCCTGGCTACAAAGCTGGAATTTGGCAATGCAGAAATGCTAGGGAAAGTACAGCCAGAAGTTATCAGGAAGTGGTGGGCATGGTGTTGGAGAAGTCAGGAAAGACTGCCCCCCCCTCCCTGGCAGGAGAGCCTGTAATCACTCAATTATTTCTTCCTGGGTGTGTAACCTAGACTGTGTTTTTCCCTTTTAATAAAATGCCGCGCAAAATTAGTGATGAAAAAAATGTGGCTTTCTAAAGAATGAAAGAGTGACTTACTTAAATATCCTTGTGATTCCTTCTGCATGGCTGTGATCGGGCAGTCTTTATGTGTTAGCAACAGCTGTTTCAGTTGGGCCACCTCGTTTTTCAACATGGACACTTCGTTCTGGAAAGACACATTAAAACTGTGTTGAGAAGGTAAAAAAAGGTGCAAGTGCGAACTCCCACCCACTTTCAAGCACAAAATCCTCCAACTTTACTGTGTGTGTCTAAATGGCATTAAGAATATTATTTGGAGAGATGGATCTGAATTTTGTAACTTTCCTTCAATTTGCGATGGGTCTTTTGAAGAGACCAGAGTTTAACCCAGGAACTGAACCCTACTTAAAAAACACACTATCCCCTTTAAGTCATGGGCCCTGGAACCAGGTTATACAGGTGAGAAGCCCTTCTCTTCACTGACCATGCAACCCGAGAGAGAAAACACAATTTGGTCAACCTCCTCCAACCTCATTTTTAGCATTTAGAAAATGGGCTCAGAAATAGTACAACATACAATGAGCTTGGTGACACCCAGGACACAAATTTGACTTTCCAGGCACAAATCAACTAGAGAAGAACATTCCTAGAAGTTACTTGAAAAATTGAAACTGGTTTTTTTTTTTCCCCTCTAAAGAATATCTCCCACCTGTAAATGCATTTGGAGCACAGGATTCAACTGCACACTGAACAGATTGCTAATAAAGTAACAAATGTCTCAACTGCAAAAGTTTTCCCATTATCCTTCAAACTACCAAAAATGGTAATAACGAGAAATTCACCTAAATATGAATAAGTCACCTAATGGTACAGGAAAATTGCTCTTAAATCTGAGAGCATTCATGAAGGCAAATGGTACCTTCTACTTCCAGTGAGTATGATCAACAGGGGCCAGCCATCGCCCAAAGTGACATTTGGTGATTCTGGGGCAACTTTATTTTACAGGGAAATTCCCATCAGTCATCAACCAGCTCTTCTTTGAACTCTACCTGAATTAGGATGCTTAAATAACCTTCTTTGTATGCCCCCCGCCCCCACCAAGCTCTCCTTGTCTTTAAAATAGCATGTCAGAAAGAGTCACCTTTAGACTACTATATAGACTTTTTCTTAGAAACCTGTTTAAAAATAAAATCAATCGACTCAAAATGAAACCGAGAACTCTGATGTGTGTATATTTTTGCACGCACACATCAAGATGAAATGTCCCACTACTTGTGAACTTTAGCAATGATGTTTTTTTCTGAACACACAAGTCCTGACACCTGTGCCCTCAGCAAAACGTTTAGCTGCAGATGATGCAGACAATGGCACTTAGGAAATGGCACAAAAACCCACCCCTTTTCTACTATGGCGCAGAAAACAACTAGCAAAGTATGAAGGCCAAACATGGGGGTGGTTCGGTGGGCAAAGGGACTTGCCACCAGGAGTGAGGACTGCAGTTCAGTCCCTAGGAGCCACATGGTGAAGCAGAGAATCAACTTCCATGGTTAACCCAGTCTCAACATGTGTGATCGGGCACAAGCACACCCCACAATAAACTAAGTAATTTTAAAGTTAGCAAACACAACCAAACTTGATCATTTTGCTTTCTTAACGCTTATTGAATTAGAAATAAATCATGTTTGAAGGTCGTTGGCCAGCTTGGAGAAGGTGAAGGCAGGTTCCATTTTGTCTCCCACTGTGTCCTGGGCAGTGACCCTTTATAGCCAACATTTAACTCTGGTTAGGGTGTGTCCATTGCTTCTTTTTTGAAACACCAATAATGCCACTGGCCAGCTTTCTACACTACTGGTGGGAACGCATCTTAAACTCTTTCACGATACACTTTCCGTCTCCACAGAGCCGTTGCACTATGAAGCAGCACACACACTGTACTATGAAGCAGCACACATTCAGGTCTCTCACTAAAACTATGCCACGGCAGCGTTTGGTTCATTAATGAACCGATGTGTTGTAAGGAGAAAAACCGAGATCTTGAGTAGTGTAAAGTTCTGAAAGGATGCAGGAACAAGGACTGAGGAGATGGTTCAGGCCTCTTGCGAGGACCTGGTTTGGGTTCCCCGCACCCACATGGTAGCTCACAACGATCCGTAACTCCAGTTCCAGGGCATTCAACAATGCCCTCTTTAGTTTCCATGGGCACTAGATGCATGCATAGTGTATATACATCCACGTAGGAAAAAAACATAACATAAAAAAAATAAAACCTATCTAAAAATGAAGTAGAAACTCAGAGTGCTGGAAAAACTGACTGTCATTTAAGGATATACTTGACTATGTACATATTTCTCATGTTAGTAATTGTGTTAGTTGGCCCAGTCACAGTTGGAAAGTGAATACCAGTTAAGAACATCATCAGAGAGAAATAAGCAGGCCCTGGCTTCAGTACACATTACTCTGATGCTGTGGGGAATAAGGAAAAGCCCTAGAGCCTTGGAATTCTCATACAGCCACCCACAGGGAAAGCAGCTCCTTCCTAGGGCTGAGCAGCATGATCAGGTGTGGGGTCCAAAGGGGTGGGGGCTGAAGGGGTGGCTCAGTGGTACAGTGCCTGCTGGCAAGGGCAAGGCCCTGGACTGTGTCTCTAGCACCGCAAGTCAAACAAGATGACGCCACTTCTAAGGACAGTAGCAGGGGCTGACTTTCCAAACCACTCCACCCACGTCCAAACCAAAATGGCTGGACTGGTTTATTTCTTCCCAGAAAGACAGTTTCTTATTCCAGAGGGATTTTTGTGTTGCCTTTCTGTTGAGAAAGCCAATTACCTAACTATCAAACGAAGGAGCTGATCTCGATCTTCATTTGACAGTGAACTACTTTGAGAATTCTCCCAGGTGCTTATATTCCAGGCCTTGTATCTCATAAGGAAGCCAAGCACAGCACCCTTTGGAAGATCAGATGTTAAGAGTACACAGTGCATAGTCATAGTTTCATTACAGGGGAGAGAGAGAGAGAGAGAGAGAGAGAGAGAGAGAGAGAGAGCAAGCGCATGTATGTGCACATATGCACTCACACTGAGAAAGAGTGTCTGGATCCTTCATCAGATGCCACAAGGGCCCTTTGAGTTGACAAAGGGCAAGAGCTGCTGAACTGGGGAAAGGAGACTGGACTGCTGTCCTAGATGGGATGCTCTGCACACACACGGCATCTAAGGACTCTGCATCCAAAGAAGACGGAAGCAGGGAATGCACACGTACTAGACTGTGTTTCTAGTCAAAATCTTTTTCAAGGTAAGAGGACTAGAATCACCTTGAATTCATTTTGTAAGAGAAAAACCAGATAGCAAATGTCTCAAAAATGCATGGAAGAAGTCAATTTTGGCCTAGAAGTTCAGCAAGGAAATAAAAGCCAGAACCGTGTGAGACATCAACTCACTTTATGAATTGAGGAAAAAGTTCACCTTTGAAGTTCTCCTTGGTGCTTGTAGAAAAACAGTTTTTAAAAACAAAGTATAACTAATAAATGCACTCTCTGGTTGAAGTCAGTCCTTTCCGCTTTCAGCGGTGGAATGAATCTGAGGTTGCTGTTCTTAAAGCAGTTATCTATTTAGATAATGATGGTTAGAGCAGGATCCCGTCATGCTGATGTATTTTTAATCCACAAATCTGCCTGGGGGTGAAGTAGCAATCATGTCGAGGTGTTCCACACTTCAATAATTCCCTGACAGGCACATTGACAGTTTGGAGCTTTGGTAATGTCATTTTGTTATATGATAAATCCACAATGCTTCTTGGTATAAGCTGGAGTTTGTGCCAAAAACATAATTGCCACAAAGGGCCCAGAACCCCTCCCCCCCTTTTCAGATTAGCTGAGGGCAGGTTTGGTCCCCTCAGAAACAAAGGACTTTCAATTTGTCAAGCAACAGTTTCCATCTGGCCTGCTCCCTTGCCAAGTCCCAGACCTGGGTTCGTGTGTCTAAAATTTCAGCATCAACTTAGACCATGTGTCTTTGCACTAAAAAGGAAAAGCAATTACTTTAGTGGGTGACCAGATGATTTCCATATCCCCACCGAATGCAAGTGACCTAGGACTGCCACAGCAGCGGCCCACAGTCACAGCAGTACACACGGACACAGACTCCCTCAGCGCACGGGCTTCTTAGAAGGGAAAGATGTCAAGGCAGTGACTTAGGGCCACAGGTGATTTGCCCAAGTCCTCACTCACTCTTTTGATACTTACTGATAATCTGACATTTGGGGTGACTTCTGATCTCCCCAAACCTCAGTTTCTCCATATAGTAAAATGTCAGGTTAGGCTTTTTCTAACTTTCTCTAAATCCTACACCTGCGTTTATCCTCTTGGGCAAAGATTTGCAATGAAGACTGGGGTCTGCTTTTTTGTTTTCCTAGGTCTTGTTTTTCCAACCCGGAGCTCTGCGGCAGCCTGACCAGAAGGTTCTATTCTGGAAAACAACTCAAAGGTGGCAGCTGGCCACTCGGACCTTGGCTATTCCATCTGGCTGTGCTTTGTTTGTTTAGCACCTTCTATTTCTGTTTACTGAAAATCTGGCTCATGGAACCAGTCTCAAGAGAGACACCTTTTTCTTCTGACGGTGAGTGGAAAAGGGTCACCCAAAGGTGGCGGAGGCTGTGACATTCTCCCCCGCATCACAGGGCATGACACACAACACACAGTACAAGAGAGAACACGGGGCTGCTGTGGCTTTTGCCCCTCTGGTGCCAGTGCTGCAAGCAATGGTTGGAAACTGTCAGTTAGTGGTCTTGCAGAGCTTTTTTGCTTCCCCTGTACTGATTTTGTAACCAAAAATTACCAGTGTCTGCTGCATAGACTCTCTAGGGCTGAGGTTTCTGTTTTTTGTAATCTCTATTCTTGGGACTTAGCACCTCTTTTCCTTGGCTGTCTTAGCTATTTGGGCTCTAAAATATTAAGCATGTGTGCACACACGCACACAGTGAATTAGTGTCTAGCACAGGGCGAATGGACTTTGTATGTTTTTGGAAAGCAGTCATAAATAAGTGGATGTCAAGGCCCAAACGCATCTGACCTCAGACTCCAGGGCATCTTTCTGTGCAGTTCTCTGCTGTGACTCTCTGCAGCAAAGATCCCGGAGAAAACCCGCAAGGACTCATTTTAATTCACACCGATTTAAAGTTTTGAATCTGACATGTGTCTGCTGGTTATTCACGGCTCTGTTTTAAAGAACCTGCACTCATCTGAAGCTAACGTTATACCACCACACTCTCTACTCCAACCAGGGGTGGGGGCAGGTGGCAATGTCTGGAGACATTGTAGTTGTGCAACTGAGGGAGGGGCTTGCTCCTGATTCTAGTCTGTAGAAGCAGAAGATGCCATGAAACAGCCTATATTTCCCAGGATGTAACAAAGATTCCCAGAGTCAATGGCTCTCAAATTGGGAACCCCATGGGCCTCCACCATCCTCCCGTAGAGCTCAGAACTGCTAGGAAGCAACTCCTGCTTCGCTTGTTGCTTTAGCCAATGCCACCATGTGTGCTGGGTCTGCCCAGCCCGGAGCGTTCGCTCATTATAAAATGAGTTACCCATAGTGCCTGTGAAACTGTAGGTTTAAGGTTCCAACCATACTTTAGCAATTTTTTAATTTGTGTATATCTGTGTGAATGTATGTCATGTGTATACGGGTTCCAAAGAGGCCAGAAGAGGTCATTGGATGTCACAGGCAGCCATAAACCACTCTGTATGGGTGCTGCGAACTAATCTTGAGTCCTCTAGAAGAGCAGCAAGTGCTTTTAACTGCTAAGCCATTTCTTCACCCCTTAATAACCTTTAAAACACGTGTCAAAGCGAAAATGGAGCCATGAATGCTAAAATGCTTATCCACGCTCTTGTTAAAAGCTCCTCACAGACTAGTCTGCCCAGCCTGGGTGTAGCTGTGGCTTTGAAGGTATCTAGCTCCAGACACCGCTTTGTGGTTTGATGCTCTGCAATCAAACCAAGTTGGTCAGGCCGCCAGCCTGTGGACACTCTAGAGACAGGGAGCTTGTTCAACGATAAAACAAAAACAAAAACCCTGTGTAGGTCCTATGCTAGAATAGGGAATAGCCAGTAGGGAGAGGTGCAGTGAGATATGGTCCCAAATGTGTATATGAATTGGCATTCGATCTTACTTTTATGTAAGCTGTGCATTTTCTAACTTCATCATGTCTATCACAAAAAGGGTGATATATTTAGATGAGGGTATGAATGTAAGTTATTGAGTTCAGGAAGATACACCAATCTTCCTTTGTATACTTTTGATTTGTACACTGGATGCCACGATTCCTTTTTGTTAAACGCAACTCACAATGCAAAGACACTGGGGTTTGCCATCCCAAGCGCTCCTTTGAAAGGATGCAGAGATGACTAGGGATGTAAGCTCGGGTGGCAGAGAGCTTGCCTAACATCAGTGAAGCTTGATCCCTGGCACCACATAAAATTGAGTGTGATGTCACATGCCTGCAATGCCTGCACTCTCCAGCTAGAGGTAAGGGGATCAGAGGTTCAAAGTCATCCTTAGATACACAGCAAGTTCAAGGCCAGTGTGGGCTACCCAATGCTCTGTCTCTAAACAACAAACAAACAAACAAACAAACAAATAAAGCCTACCTATAGGTGTTCTGAGACTGGCTGGAGAGACTATCAATTACTAAGTTTCTATTGAGTAACCTTACACCCTTTCTTATGTCCATGGGTCCCTCTCAACTCTGGGAAGGGCTGGTTGAAACTAAAACACTTCCCAAGGTCCCTGAAGGTGTTTGTCATACGTCAACGTAATTGCCATTTTCTCTTGAGAACCTTCCTGATGTTAGAACCAGCAGCCTGAATGGCATCATCGACCTACTGGGGTTCTCCTGAGAAGCCCACACATTGGTTACTTTCCTCATCCCCCAAAACAACCCCAGAAACAGCTTCTCTACAGATGTCCCTAGCTATGCCAGCCCTGGAAAGCAAAAATCACACATGATTCCAACCTTGCTGAGTTTGGAATGAAGATGAAAACAGGCTTTTACTTTCAGAGCACACAAAGCTAACCAAACATATAAAATATTCTGCCATTAAAAAACAGAAATACAGACAACCGGGTGTATGCCAAGGTACCCTCAGCCTGGTGGTTCCACATGGCTTCCAGATGAAAAGCCTTCCATGCCAGGGACCATTCTAACTGCATCATGAACATCAGCTCACATCTTGCCCCCAACTCTAAAGTTGTTCCCCATTTACACATGAGGAAACTGAGAGCCAGAAAACTTAGCACAGTCAGTAGCTGCCAAACCCGGGCTTGAAGTCAGGCTTCTGTGTTTGGTCCTGTGCGTCCCTCATCTCTTGTGGGAGGACCGATGGCACCAAAGCACTAATGATGCTGGATGAGAGGGCCTGGGGTTCCTCTGAGGCGAGGTGTGTGGTAGGATGCGTGGGTCAACAAGCGGCTGCAGGGCAGGAAATGCCAACCCTGACAAGGCTTGGGGAAGGGACTGGGACCGCACCTGAAGCTGCATGTTTGTCTGGGTGAGCTCTTCTGCTTTCTTTTCCAGTGACATCACCCAGACCTTCCTCTTCTGTCTGCAACGGGTGGCGGCAGCCCGGTTCCTTTCCAGAAATTTCCTCCGCCTCTCATCCGGGTCCTCATCCACCACCCTTCGCCGGCGTCCCCCTGTAGGCTGGGGCGGTTGTATGGTCTGGGTTGGTTGCATCTGTTGTGTGGCTGGTGAAACCTGAGGGGATAGAGAGGGAGGAAGTGATGGGGACCCGGAAGAACATGTTGGGTAAGGAAGACTCCCGAGCCAGTGTTACACGAGCAAAGCTTAGGAAGTCCGCTGCTTTTTAGTAAGCATGTGAAACTTGTTCTCAGTGAATGAAATAAACAGTGAAACCACACGTTTGAGAGCAGAGTCTGTGGATTTGGGCCAGATACAGGTGGGACTAACAGAAGGACCCAAGCAGGGGAATTATTTTCTAGACGGGTATTTGGAGGATCACGGTGGTGGTGGTGGTGGTGGTGGGGGGCAGGGAACATTTGTTTCTCCTTCGGGTATTAAAAGTGTCTTATTCAAGATGCTTTAAAGAACATTAAATTGTGCTATTGTATCTTAGAAAAAATATTAAATTGGTCCTGGGCGGTTACTGGGCTGAAACAGATGATGTCAAGGCTATTTCCATGACAGCATTTTCTTTTTTGTTTTGTTTGCAGAAAAATCTCCCGGCAGGCTGTGGGCTCCTTTGATTCCAAATGTGTTTAAATTACATCAGGGGAGCACACCTATGGGGCACTGGCACTGTCAGCCCTAGACTCCTATAGAAAAGCCTTGCAAATCAGAATGCAGTTCCTGTTCCATTTTTAGTACCTGGGACCAACTGGACCTACAGCCTCCAGGTGGGTGTGGTCTTCAAGGTCCTCAGGGCTCTGATTAAGGAGGAGGGAGTCTCAGGAGGGTTTTCTAGGGTAGGACAGGGTCTTAGAAAGCTAGCAATTGCGGCCAGCCCTTCTCTCTGTTACACACTGTAGGGTTAGACGGTGAGGACAGGTTGCTTCACACATACCTACGTTATAAAGAAACACTAGGAGCGGTCACATACTTTATTAAAAAGTTTTACTAAGCTTCGAGACCCCTTGTAAGGCCTACGTGGGACGCCACAACATGGGAAGGTTGGAGACCCCCACACAGGCAGCTTTATTTCCCTCGAAGAAGCAGACACGCAGTACCTTGTGAAATTTCTACAACTCCTCTTTATATGTCTGGACACCTAACGCTTTTGCTAATGCACTTTGCTCCTTCCTCCTGCTCCTGCCTCTCAGTCACCCAGGTTTACGGTTGTAATACCTATAAAGTTGTTTTACAAGAGACATTTAACCTACAGAAATAACAGGCAAAAAGTTTTCAGAAAGTTAAGCTCAAAACCCTTTACTAACATATTCCAGCATCCATGATTGAAATCAATCAGAATGACTGTAATTGCACTAATAGTGGCCTCAGGTTGACATCAGTTGACCGAAGGGGATGGATTTCAGCCCTCAACTCTGTCAAACCTTCTATGACTAAACTATAAAACTATATAAACTATAAAACTATAAAAGAATCAGGCTCAGGAGGTCAGTAATTTTATCTAAAGCGAAGATGTTTTCTGAAACTCTTTATTGACAATTCCTTTCGGCCCAATCACAGAGGGATCATGAAGTAAGTCAATTTTCTAAGGTCTTACTCACAGGGGTGGCTGCCTATGACATAATCTCTGCCATTGGCTGAGATGTAGCAAAGTGTGTCATTTCCATCGCTGACCCCTGAGCTGGCTCCTGAGGAACCGGGCAGCAGGAGGAAGCAGGCTGGCTCTTTGCAGCTGGCCACATTCACGTCTGCTTTTCTCTTATGAGATCTCTTACTACCCAAGATGAAATTAAGCAGAACTGGATTTTATTCTTCAGAGCAAAGACTTCTCAATGCCACGGGCTACTCCCCTGACGTTAACCAAACTGACGCTCAGACATCTTTCCTGTACCTTTACCCTGTGTGCTAACTGAGGGGGAGTTGAGACCCATTGTGGGTCCAGGGGTTGGCCTAGGGAATGTTGGTTAAGAAATCTTCCTGGTGACAATGAAGTGTCACTTGCCTTCTGAAATTCACGCCTATGTTGGGCATGGAAATCACGGGCAGCCAGGAGGATTTGAAGACACAGCTTAAAACCAGAATCTGTGTTCCTGCTAACTACCATGACTCAGTGTTTTATGTTCAAGATGGAAGTCTCTCTGCAGAGCTGCTTGGCAAATTTTGACTGAAAAAAAAAATAATAAACTGCCATGTGAAGAAGACAGAATTTGTCCCAATTAACTTCGACTCTCAGATTTGAAAGGACCATCGGAGACTTCTGTATCTACTGTTCAGACTAGCAAATAATTGAAGAACTTGACAAGATCTGCTCAGTGATCAACCAGGTCCACATAACTACCATAAGAGTGGTAGTGTAGAATATTGTCTAAACGATCCCCAGATATAGAGTCTTTCTTTGTAGAATAGGATTTAAAAAAGAAACTCTGAGTGTAGCTAATTACAATAGCAATTAGCTAATTGCATATACAATTGGGCACTTACTGACTTGAAACAGGGCAATTGGCTAATTGGCACTTAGCTAATGAATGGCTTTCATATTTTAAAAAAGAAGAACTGTTAAACTTGTCTCTGAAATAACTTGTCCAGAAAGGTGCCCAAACCTTGATGTCCTTATACTTCAGTAACAAACACAGAGTGTAAGGATTGCCGTTGCCTGAGATGCTTTTTTTTCCTTTCCTTTTCTTTCTTTCTTTCTTTCTTTTTATGCAGATCCTAGTACATCAGTTAACTAAAATGTAAATAAAAATATACTCTAGGGGAACCTGTTGTTACTGAACTACTCACTAAACTTCTTTTGAATCATTTAAGTTTAGAATTGATCCTGAATAATATGTTTTGAAAACTTTTTCAGAGTCTCTGTGGCTTCATAGTCATGAGAGTCTGTTTATTTTATCCCATTGGCAAATGGGAAAGCCGAGGTTTATGGGAGGTTAATCTATATCTCTGTCCACAGTCGCCAAAGTCAGTCAAGGAAAGAGCTGGTCATGTGCTGTATAGCGCATCTCTTCTCTCTATGTGGAGCCCCACTAGGGGTCTCTGCAAAATTAAGTTTATCTAACAGATTGGTTAGGAAGTTGCCTGTGACAGTCTCCTCCCACCCCACCCCTTTACCTTTCCTGGTTTGTTAGGGCAGGGAGCTCAAGAGCTCAAAGCCTTCCCTGGTCTGAGAGCTTGTGTCTCTCCAGAGGCAGAAAGCGGAGGAGAAAGTGAATAAGCATTCCTTGGCAGACCCTGGTTCCAGTGCCATTCTGACCCAGCTGGTTAGGACTGGGTAGAGAGGAATGGGTGGAGGAGACACCGAAGGTCATCTTGCTCGAAGCCCCAAGTGGCTAGGGCTCACCACACTCTTGGACAAGTCTTTCAGCTACTTAGGAAAACCCAGTTCTGCACAGGGACTTGCTTGTCTTCTTAGCCTGGGTGACATAACGTCTGCCTGGTCCCCCAACTCTCTTTAAGGGCAGTCTGCATGCTTGTCCTCTTGCTGGTCAGCCCTACTGACTGCACCCCTGGGAGCTGACCTTTCTCTTGGTCTGATTGTCTGCGGAGCTTGGCTGCTTCTCTGCTTCCTCCAAAGTGTTTCCCAGTCAGGGGTGAGTCACTTCTCACCATCTTAACAGCATGCCAGAAGAGGGCATCAGATCCCACTATAGATGGTTGTGAGCCACCATGTGGGACTGCTAGGAATTGAACTCAGGACCTCTGGAAGAGGAGCCAGTGCTCTTAACCACTGAGCCACCTCTCTAGCCCTGTTTAAGTTTCTTTTAATTCTCCTATCAATATTTACTATTTTTTTTTAGGACAAACCTTGTGACATACTTGCAAAAATACAGGGTTTTGAGAACTTCTAGTTTTCATTTGTTCCCTAGAGACTGAAGCGGAAATTTACCACATTATTTATAGGAATTATGACCCAATCGCATCTTTATCGTTCACGGACACTTCCTAGGAAACGGACAGAGCTCCCCAGCATGTCAGCTGGAGAACCTAGCTAGGCTTATCGAACAAGGGAGCAAGAGATGACTGCGAGTTTGCGCTTGCGCGGTTGGCATGCGGAAAAGAAGGAAGAAACGCGGGTGAAAGTCTACCTGTGCTTGGTTGCCGGTGTGCAGGGGCGGGTGTGGCGAGGTCTGGTGGTGTGCCGGGTGTGCATGAAGGTGGGAATGGGAGTGGTGGTGCGGGTGGTTCTGTTGGTGGTGAGGCTGTGGGTGGGGATGGTGGGCGGGGTGCTGGTGCTGGTGCGGGTAGGGGTGGTGGGGCGGCAGTGTCTGGTGCTGATGCGGGTGGGAGTGCATGTGGTGGTGCGGCGTCTGGTCTTGCCGGGAGCCCATCATCTCCATCATGTGTCCGATGGTGCTCATGTTCCCATTCGACATGGCCGCGGGGTGGTGGGTCAGCGCCGCCTTCAACCTCTAAAACAATAAAAAGGGGAGGAAAACCGAGGTCACTTATGTACACGGTGGAGATTTTGAAGAAAATCAACTCATACATTTAATTCTATAATATTTTTGGTGCTATGATTATGGTAGCTTTTGTGAGTGGGTAGCTTTGTAGAATCTCCTTTTAAAAAATAATATGATAGGTAGAGGGTCACTGTCTGGGCTGTTAACTCAACTGTTATATCAAATGTATAAGGCATCCTGTTAAGGTTTATCAAAAGGTATATCCTACTGTGCCATCACATGATTGTCCTATTGGTAGCAAAATGTACAAACCAAATGAAACCATTTAATATAATAATGCCATTAGTGGGGGGGTCCTCATTCTCACTAGTGTGCAGAACCCACAAGTATAAAACATTCTGTCTCTCAAAAGATTTCTCAGATGCAAGGAAGAGATCACATCAAATGTTAGCATGGAGGAAAATGAGTCTTGTTATTTCGAGAGTTCAAATCAGCCTTAGCAATCCACGAAGCAACGGGAAATTCTTTTGCCATGATAGTTCTCACCACCCCTCATGAAAACCGTATTTTTCTCACACTAACTTTCTGCTGACTCTGAGTACGAAGTGAGGAAAACAGAGCAGTCTGTGGTACTGCACATCACCTTCTGTGACGGCGTGACGGCCACCAAGGCGCATGCGCACCAAGAAACCTCCTTCGTTGCAAAACAGGCAAGCACACCGGTAGCTTCCCGCCTGAACCTAGAGCAGCGGCAAGCCCGCGTTCTCGGACAGCCCGCGTTCCCGGACAAACCCACTGTGGACTTCACTCTCTCAGGTCAGCCATCCTAACTCCCAAGCAGCTGTAGAGAACACACCTGCTGCTCTGCCATGCAACTTTACTGTGTATAGGAAAATGGCATATCATATAACGGTCATAACATCAAGTATTTGCTCGTTTTGTTTCTTTTTGTGCCCAATCACTTAAAATGTCAAAACCACTCTTAGCTTACGATATGTACAAAGTCAGAGCACAAAGTGTGATTTGGCCTATGGGCTGGGGATCAGTCGGCTGTCAAGAGTAACCCAGTTCCTTCAGCCTTGTTTTCTGTGTGGGCCCTTATCCTAATCCTGTGGGTCCCTGGTGTGCTAAAACCCCGCAATGCAGTTACTGCTTGGAAATGTTTGCTGGGGGGGATATGAGAATCTGGCAAGCTTGCTCACGTTAGCTTCAGGAAGGCTAGGGGGCTTAAGTTCTCTCCAGATTTGTGTTCTTATCAGATGAGAGTGCTGAGCATCCCCGGGATGAAGAACAGCCCTCAGATGAGAACAGACACCAGGCTTCTCCAGCCAGCACACCAATCGTCTTAGCCAGCTCAGCTAACCGAATCTTAAACATGAAGTGCCTCCAAAGGAGGACAGGACAGAATGCTGTCATCATTACAGATACTTTCTGTATCTCGATTCAGCAGCCAGGGAGTCCACTAGACCTCTCCTGTATGAGCAGTAACCATGGCAAGGGCAGCATCGACTTGCTAAGGACAATCAGGAGGAAGGTGAGCTTCTTCAACCCTGGCAAAGCTTAGGCCTTGGGCCCTGTGTTTACTACTAAACAGGAATGGGAACAGCTCTGTGTTTGAGAGGTGATGTCATTGTTTTTCTAAAAACAAAACAAAACAAAATGCTCATTATAAAAAATTTAAGCCATGCTTAAGAGTGGAATGAAGTCAGCCACTTGGAGCCAGTGTGTTGCTCATAACGGTAGGTGAGCAGCATTCCAGAAGCCCATGTTAGCACAGGGAGAATGGGAGGAGCAGGTGGGATGACTGGAACATCAGAAGTCATAATGAGTGCTTGAAATGGAATGAATCACTTCAGATAGTGCTGTTCCCCTTGACCGGAAAGGCGCCGAATGCTGTTTCCAAATTTAAGAGAAAAAAAGTATGAATGAAAGAGATTATGTTGAAGTTGTGTTTTGAGTTGACTTCCTGCATCATACCTAGATGAACCTCAAGTTTCATTATAAAAACATAGTGGGCCTGTAATTCTAGCACTGAAGAGGATGAGGCAGGAAACTTTCAAGTTCAAGGCCAGCCTGGGCTGTATGCAGACACGCATGCACACATATATTTGCATGCAGTTTTACAGTTAAAAAAATCCATCTGGTACCAGAATACTATGTGAAAAAGTAAGAGCATTTTGCCCTGTGCCCTAGCACCCTTCCTCTATAGGTGGCATGTGCCCTCAGACAATGATTTCTATGAAGGTTGTTATATGTTACTTTTGTTACTTTAACCCATTTTATATCCATAAAAGTAGCTAATATGAACAATCAAGCATTAATTGATCCCTGGCTTGTTCTCATTCTATGCTAACATTCAAAGGGGCAGGCACGGCTGCTGGTAAGGGGCAGGTGCCATTCTCTGAATGGGAAAGTGAGTCTGGGAAGCCATGCCATTCACCCTCTCCCGGAAGCAGGATTAGTTGTGTCATGGTACTTCCCCATCACAAAAAGGAAGAGCTTGTAGAGTTGACAAGACAGAGGTCACGCTGCAGGTTGCAAAAGCAGACCTGTGTGTCTGGTACTCAGCAGGCAGCTGGGGATGGAAGGCCCCCTGCATGTAGGAGGAAGGGGGGTGGCTGACGAGAATTTCTAAGAGGTCTGCTACCGCACAGAAACATCCAGGCTTGGGCATCATCTCTCCCCTTGTATTTTTGAGGAATTCATCCTTACATCCACTCATACCAAAGCAGATATGGTATGCCATGGCCAGGCCCTGCTGTCCCCAGGCAGCAACATCAGTGTCTGAGCTGGCTTTTCCTTTTTTTTCAGACATAACGCTTAGCTCCAGGCTGCTCACTAGTAAAATCCTTCCTGCCTTCTTCTCAGAGTCAATTCCCAATGACGTGTGTTCTCATTACAGTCATATACCTTTTAGAAAAAAAAGTACGTATGTTGCTCCTATAACTTTTAGGATGGTTATTCCATTAATATTGATTCATCACTGGATTATGAGAATAGAATCATTTTTGGATTTTGTTAAGTGTTAACTTACCAGCCTCAGTACCGAAACCAATACGTAATTGCATATGAAATTAATATATGAATGAATGAATGGTACTTCCAAGGCTTAGAGTGGAGACATAGCATTTTTGTCTTGGAACACCACACACGATTTTTGTCAGGAGGGTTATATATTTGTTAGCAGAAGTCATGGAGGCAGTTGACCCCTAAAAGTGATATTAAAGGACCTATCCCCCCAATACCCAGCCTGCCCTCTAGAAAATGGCAGAGCAAAAGGAAGCAAATAGCTGAGAGAGGGGGCACAATAAATTTATCTTCATGTCTCTTTGAAATCAAGGCATGGAAAATCCAAAAGCTGTGCTGGAGTGGGCCATCGTCTTGTCTCCTCGTTGCTTGCACTGCCTTTCCCACCTTTAATTAGAAGCAAACGGAGCCTGACAGATACATACCCCGCACCCGATCTTCATCTCTCGAATAATTAGCCTGTACCGATGAAGGGAAATTACTTGATTGCCTCAAGTCTGTTCTTGTATGTTCCAAGCCAAGGCAATAACACTAGCAACGCTAATAACATTCCATTTAACTATTTATTCACCCAGCAAATATTTATTAGGTTTTGACTCCACGCCAGCACGGCACTGGGCACTTTGTTATTTGCTGTCTGAAGTAAATGAAAGATACATCAAACCAGGGCTTTTAAGACTCAAGTGGAGAGAAAAACTACACTCCGGTACGGCAATGAGAACTTTGATTCCCTTTAGAAAACCTTGGGCCTCGGCTGAGTTTATCCTCCAGCCCTGGGCCTCCAGCACAGCTGAAGACAACCAATCATTCAGCTGCCCTGCGCATGTCCTTTCCCACACCGCCAGTGCCACTTCAGACCAGTTTGGGGCAGTTCTGACAGTCACGGAACTGCTGCTCCCCGGTGCGGTGCTGCCACGCGAAGGGAGCACATGCACCATGAACTAACAAAATACCCCCAGTTTAGATAAATGCACCCCACTCTCTGAGGTCTGATGAATGATCAACAAGTGAGGCCGAGCTGAGCTTTGCTGAATGAGCTTTCTTTGCGAAGCTGAGAGGTGTCTTGTTTGAAACGATACACTGTTGCATGCCGGGAGAAGACAAGAGTGTGAGACGGACGTGGATGAACAAATAAACAGATACTTTTCTCCAGCTCTAAAAAAACAGGCCTGTGACTGAGCAGAGGCTACAAGAGAGAAGAAGATTGGACTGGCTTTCTCTGGAGGACCCCGGCACACAGCTGTTTTCAGTCAATTAAAGGTCGTCTTGGTTCCATCGGCCTGCTTCACCAGCTGCTTGTTTGCTGTTTCCTGTGGGAGCGTGGGCCTGTTGCCCTGGCACTGAGTCCCAGGAGGGAACTAGCCGTCCACCCCTCTCTGCTTCAGGGTGCCACTGCTGAGTGCCAGGGTGCCAGGCCCCCTTGCAGTTAGCTCAGTTTTTTTTTTTTTTTTATCACAGCACATCTTGTGTGAACCCCAGATAATTCTCACGTCGTCAGTCTCACAAGCATGTGGGAATGTGTGCTTGTGTAAGTACACACGCACCCACACACACAACACAAGCATGGCACATTCACACCCACACACACCCCAGGCAGTCTTTCTCCCATTAGCGACTTATTCGGGCCAATTAGAAACATTTGTGTTCATTTGAAAGCTCCGTCAGTGGGGTGGATTGCCTTGGAATTGTTCGTAGCCTCGGAAAGCCGAGCTAGATTATTAAATTTTACTTGAAATTCAATTGGGTGGGAGGTGGAGAAGGTGGGAACATTCTTTCTAGAAAACGTGTAACTATAAACCGCCCTTTCTAAGAGATCACACAGAGATGTAGTTCCTGGGCTGGCCACAAGGAACAAGCTAGCTCTTACAAATGCGGCAAAATCTCTATTTCTGTTTCATATTTTCCATAGTTATTGCTACTATCGGATTTTTCAAAACACTGCTTCAAGGTGTCTTCTTTCTTTGGCTTCTTCGCATAGTGGT